TATATATATATATATATATATACATATATATAAATGAGTTACAATTTTTTTATAGTCTACATATTTTTTTCTCTTCACCTCTTCAAGATAAACATTTTTACTAAAGTTTCCTCTTGATATTTATTTTTTTAGTTTTTTCGGTAGAACGTGCTTTCCTATTACTCTGGGATTACGAGACTTATGAGTGCCCACTCGCGTAAATATAGGGGCCTTTTTAATTTTTTTTTTTTTTTATATATTATGTACAGACGGATTTATATGTATATGTTTTTTTTTTTTTTTTATTTTTTTATTTATAGTACATGTAGTTTTTATATTTCTCTATTCCACTTCTCGTTTAATCTCACGCTTCGTCACCTGTACCCCGACATTACATTTTTTCCCGTCGCAATAATCAACCTCACGGTCCATAGGAACCTGAGTATACATTTTTTGTTTCTCCTTAGAATTGTCATTCGATAACTAAAGATATATATATAAATATATAGATGTATATAGGTGGATATTATGGATATGAATAGGTGAGATTAAAATAAAAAATCCATATAAAAAAGTATATTAATGAAATGTATAAGGATTTTTAGTATCCCTCGTTCTTAGATTTGATCTGATGGATTGGATTTTATCTTACTTATTTATTTAATATATTTTTTGGCCTTGGAGGCCAAGTTACCTTAAGTTAATATTGAAGACCTAGAGGACAAGTTTTACTATTTTTTTTTGTACTTTTAATTGTGTAATAGCTGAAGATATAAAATTTTATAGATTTTTTAAACTTTTTTTATTTTAAATTAAATTCAAAGAATAAATAATTTTTTTTATTTACTTTCTAAAAAGTAATGACAAATCTTTGACGAAATTTATATTATTAAGAGAATAAGAAAAATTTTGTTTCAGGATAGTCAATTTATGATGATAAATATTTAAGCTGCATTCGAAAATTCTCTATTTTCAGATACATAATCAAGAAATGACCTTTTATCTTGTGAAATATGGACATTTTTAAAGATATAAGCTCATCCCGATGGTATGCTCACCGAGACCTTTCATTTGAGTACCCACATCAATTTTTCATATATTTTATATATATATATATATATATATATATATATATATATATATATATATAAATTGCACTGTATTTTCTTAAATATTGACGTTTTTTAAGATATAAGCTCATCTTGATGTTATACTCATCAAGAGTTTTCATTTGAGTACCCGCATCAATTTTTGATATATTTTTCATATATAGAATATTCATAAATATATGAAAAATTGATGTGGGTAGTCAAATGAAAGATCTCGATGAGTGTAACTTCAGGATGAGCTTATATCTTAAAAAATGTGAATAATAAAGCAATGACGTTGTATTTTGTCCACTGATGATATTTTTAACGATATAAGCTCATCCTAGAGTTACACTCATCGAGACCTTTCATTTGAGTACCCACATTAATTTTTCATATATTTTTATATATTTATATATATTACATATATGTATATATGAAAAATATATCAAAAATTGATGCGGGTACTCAAATGAAAACTCTTGATGAGTATAACATCAAGATGAGCTTATATCTTAAAAAACGTCAATATTTAAGAAAATACAGTGCAATTTAACCAGTGATTATTTAATAAAACAAAATTTCAATTTTTCATAGTTCTCAAGTCACTGCAGTCACGCAGTGACTGCAATGTTGCTAGTACAATATAAAATAATTGATAATTATTTCGTAGCATAAAGTTAGCTTTGTCCGCTCAATACAATCTTACCCGTGCCTCTCACTCTCGCTCTTAATTTGACTCTCATCTCGATTGCTGCAAAAGGAATAATAATGCGTTTAAAGTACATAATGAGGCGCAGGAACACTGTTGTGAAGCTTCAAAGCATCACAAGGTAAAAAAAAAAAAACCCCGTCACTCAACTTTGGCATTAAAGATCTTAAGTGTCATTTATAAATCTTTAAAACACACTTCCTCGTCTTTAACCCAGCCCTCGACATAATTGAAAATAATATTTAAATAATCCAGACGGTGATTAAACATCAACTAACCACAATTATTTTATTGTTTCAGGTTCCTCATTGCTCCTATTCGCAACTCGAAAAGACATACGAGTCGCAAATGTGTCACGCGGCAACAAAGTCGCAATGCTCGTCAAAGATCTAACCCAAGGAGCCGCTTTAGATTTCTTCTGGGAGAGACGTCTCGTTTGCTGGTCAGACGGCGAACTAGAGATAATCCAGTGCGTGAAAACCAACGGAACTGTACCAGGTGAGAGATTTACAGTGATCAATTCTAAACTGCTGAAACCTGATGGTTTAGCTTGTGACTGGTACACGGGGAAGCTCTACTGGACGGATCTCTTAAAGAAAACCATTGAAGTAACTAACATAGATGGCCCTCCGCAGCGCAAAGTATTATTTTGGACAGAAATTTTCGAGCCTAGAGCAATAATTGTCGTTCCTATGCGGAGTTTTATTTTCTGGACAGATTGGGGGGATTCCCCTAAAATTGAACGAGCAGCAATGGACGGCGACCCGGATTCCCGTAGAGTAATTGTAGATAAAGAAATCTTTTGGCCCAATGCACTAACAGCTGATTATGACAACGAATTGCTCTATTGGGCAGACGGGCGGCTTAAATTTATCGCTGTAGTAGATTACTCCGGAGAGAATAAGCGGATAATTATCAAAGAAGGCGTAGATTATCCTTATGCAATAAGTTTCTTTGACCAGAAACTCTATTGGACTGATTGGTCCACCTGGTGCATCCATTCTCATGACCTCAGGTCATCTGGCAGTCAATCTCACCCTCGAGAATTGCTCCACGGTGAGTACATCCCCGGAGATATCGAAATTTGGGACCCTAAAAGGCAGCCTTATGCTGATAATCCTTGCAGACACAACAACGGAAATTGCTCTCATTTGTGTTTACTCAGCCGCAAAGCTCCTGGGTACAGTTGCGGATGTCCCACGGGGATAAAGTTGGTAAATAATTACACCTGTGCAGATAGGCCGGAAAATATGCTGCTAATTGTGCAGAAAAAGGAAATGTCCAAATTGTCTTTAGACTCTCCGGATTACACGGACGTGATTCTTCCACTGACCGGGTTTAAGTGGGCTATTGCGGTGGACTTTGACCCAGTTGATGAAATGTTTTACTGGACGGATCAGGGAGCGCATGCGATAAGAAGAGCGTTTTTGAATGGAACAGGGCAGGAAGATTTGGTGACTAGGGAGATTATCAATCCGGAAGGAATTGCCGTTGATTGGATTGCGAGAAATTTGTACTGGACGGATTCGGATAAGGACAGGATCCAAGTTGCTAGGTTGAATGGTACTAACAGAAAGGTGTTGGTTAATGAAGATCTGATGAATCCTAGGGCTATTGCGGTTGCTCCGCAACTTGGATGGATGTTTTGGACGGATTGGAGTGTCAAGAAACCCAAAATTGAACGCAGTAATCTTGATGGCAGTGAGAGAATTTTGCTGGTTAGTAAAGGAATTTCGTGGCCGAATGGATTGGCGCTGGATGTTGATAGGAGGAAGGTTTACTGGTGTGATGCTAAGACGGATAAAATTGAGGTTTGTAATATGGACGGAACGGATAGGAGGGAAATTATTACGGAAGATCTGCCGCATCTTTTTGGATTGACTATTTTGGGGGACTTTTTGTACTGGACTGATTGGCAAAAAAGAAGTGTCGAGAGGGCTAATAAACTTACGGGGGCGGATAGGGAAATTATTATTGAACCGCTTCCGGATATTATGGGGGTGAAGGCAATTCAGTTGGGGAAAATTGAAGGCTCTAATCCTTGTGGGAAAAATAATGGTGGGTGTAGTCATTTGTGCTTGAATAGACCGGGGAATAATTATATTTGTGCGTGTCAAATTGGGTATGAGTTGAAGAAGGATAAAAAAACTTGTGTTATTCCGGATGCTTTTCTTTTATTCTCGAGGAAAGATAATATTGGGAGAATTAGCATTGAGAATGCTAATAATGATAATATTATTCCTGTTACGGGCGTCAAAGATGCCAGGTGAGTTGATTATTTTTATCATTTAATTAATTGGAAGGATTATTTAATGGTACTTTTGGGAGATTTAAGTTTTGATGAACTTTTTTTTTTTTTTGTATGAATTTATCTATACTATTAGAAGAAAAATTTTGTTTCAAAAATATTCATATGATAAAATTGGTTTTTTTAATGAAATTTATAAATTTCGAGATACTTAGTTAAGAAATGACCTTGTATCTTGTGAACTATTGATATTTTTAAAGATATAAGCTCATTCTGATGTTGCACTCATCGAGACTTTTCATTTGAGTACCCACATCAATTTCTTATATATTTATATATGTATATATGAAAAATATATGAAAATGCATGTGGGTACTCAAATGAAAGCTCTTAATAAGTGTAACATCAGGATAAACTTATTTCTTAAAAAATGTGAATGATAAATCAATGACATTGTATTTTGTCCACTGGTGATATTTTTAATAATATAAGCTCATCCTCGAATTATACTCATCAAGAGCTTTCATTTGAGTACCTACATCAATTTTTCATATATTTTATATATTTTTATATATTACATATATGTATATATGAAAAATATATCAAAAATGCATGTGGGTACTCAAATGAAAGCTCTTAATGAGTGTTACATCGGGATGAGCTTATATCTTTAAAAACGTGAGTACTTGAGAAAGTACAGTGTAATTTAACAAAATTCATTATTTAATAAAGCAAAATTTTAATTTTTTTATAGTTCACAAGTCACAGCAGTCACGTAGTGTCTTCAAAGTTGTTAGTTTACTTTAAGTAAACGAATTTTGAATTTTTTTAAAATTTAAGACATTTGATATTTTTTTTTTTAATTATAAATTAAATTTTTAGTGAAAAAAATATGAAAAAAAATTTTATTTCAATAATTTATCTAGTTAGTTATTTAAAATTTAGAAAAATAATTAAATACTGTTTTAATTAATTTTTAAATTTTATTTTTTACTTTTTTTAAATTACAATTTATTTATTAAAAAAAAAAATATATTGAAATTAATAAAAATATATTTTTATCAAAACTTAAAAGTACCTACGCTTAAAATATCTTTCTAAAAATCTTATTTATAAATTACCATAATCATAAATACCACTTTAAAAAATGTTTCAGCGCTTTAGATTTTGACATATCACAGAACCGAATATACTGGGCAGATGTTAAATTAAAAACAATATCACGTGCCTTTATAAACGGCTCGGAAGCCGAGAAGGTAATAGACTTAGGCCTGGAATCACCCGAAGGTCTGGCATTTGACTGGATAGCCCGCAACCTCTACTTCAGCGATACCTCCACCCAAAGAATAGAATTAGTCCGCTTAGAAGACAACAGCCGAAAAGTGCTGATATGGCAAGAGCTAATAGAACCTCGCTGCCTTGCTCTAGACCCTCAACACGGCCACATGTACTGGAGCGAGTGGGGAAAGTCCGGTAGTATCGAGCGAGCTAATTTAGACGGTGCAGAACGTCAAGTAATCTTGTCAAGCATCGGACGTACCCACGGATTAACAATCGATCACGACTTAAGACGACTCTATTGGGCAGACCTTTTCACTCCCGCTATCATAAGTTACGATCTTAAAACGTCCAATCGTAAAGCCGTAATTACACAAGACATCGTTTATCCATTTAGCATTACCCAGCATCTGGACTACATTTACTGGACAGACTGGAACACGGGTGACATTGAGCGAGCAAATAAAACAACCGGCGCAAATCGTACAAAGATCCACGATAAACTTGAGTCAGTTACCAGTATTCTCGCATTTCATGAATCGCGACAAGCCGGCTCAAATAGTTGCAAGCAAAATAACGGAGGCTGTAGTCATATTTGCATTGCGTTATCAGATCCAACTGGTAATTTTTCACATTCTCATAAATGCACATGTCCAACGCACTTTAATCTAACTTCAGACAACAAAACTTGTCTAGCACCAAGAAACTTTATGATTTACAGCACCCGAAATCTAATGGGCAGATACCTACCGGACGCTAATGATTGTCCAGATGTAGTGATGAAGATTCAAGGGTTGAGGAACATCAAGTCCATCGACCTAGACCCAATTACCCAACATATTTACTGGATAGACGGTCGGTCAATGTCAATTCGCAAAACCCTTGAAAATAAAACCCATGCTTCCGTGATCATTTCCGGAGGAAATGGCTTTCATCCTTTTGATCTAGCAATTGATCCCCTGGGGCGGTTGCTTTTTTGGTCTTGTACCACCAACGACGCTATAAATGTCACCAGATTAGACAATGGATCTGCTCTTGGGGTGGTTGTTAAAGGAGAGGGTGAGAAACCCAGAAATATCGCAGTTCATCCGGAAAAAAGACTGCTTTTTTGGACGGATGTGGGAGAGAAAATGAAAGTCATACAAAGTGCGATGGACGGCAAGGATAGAATCACAATTGCTTCTGACCTAAATCAGCCCACTAGCTTGGCTGTTGATACAATTTCAGACCTAATATTTTGGGCGCACGGTCATCAGATTGAAGCTGCTGAATTGGGTGGCAATTCTAGAAGAGTTTTGATTTCGATTGATGAACTTGGAGCTATTGCATACTTGGCAGTGTTTAATGAATTTGTGTACTGGTTCAATAGAGAGACTCAAATTGTAGAGCGGGTGAATGCAAGCTCAGGGATGGAAAGGCAGTCTGTTTTGAATAGAATGGTGACTGATTTTATCACTGTAAGGACTCCGGAGGATCAGATCATGGAGAATCATGTTTGCAGTCCGTTCCAGGACTATGGAGGCTGCTCGCATTTTTGCATTGGCACTGATAAGCCTGCTAAGTGCTCCTGTCCGCAGTATTTAGTGCTGGCGGAGGATAGAAGGGTTTGCAGTGCTGCTTCTGCTTGCAGAGCGGATCATTTCACGTGTGCTGATTCTGGGTCTTCTGTTACTAATGATTGCATCCCGGTGACTTGGAAGTGCGATGGACAGACTGATTGTGCTGATGGAAGTGATGAATTGGGGTGTCCTAGCTGCGCAAGGGATCAGTTCAGGTGCCAAAGTGGGCAGTGCATTGATAATTCTTGGGTCTGTGATGGAATTGTTCAGTGCCAGGATGGCGGAGATGAGGCTCATTGTTGCCAGCCGGGGCAATTTAGGTGCACGTTGACTTCTGTTTGTATTGCGGGGAATACTATGTGTGATGGGTGGGATAATTGTGCGGATGGCAGTGATGAGTCGCCAGCGGTGTGCTCGCCGAGTAATAGAAGGGGGATTATTGGGTCAGTTGGGGCAGAGTCGGGGAAAAGCGCTTATATTATTGTTATTCTGGTGGTTGCGGGGGTGGTTACTATTGCGGTGTTGGGGTTTTATTATTGTAGGAAGAAGTTGGCGAGTAATGAGGAGTTGCCGGATATTTTGCATGATTCGGCGGGTGATCCGCTATCGCCGAAACCGGGGAGGTCTGGGAAACCGATGTTGGTACAGAAGAATGGGGCCAAGGATCATAAGAATGGACTTAAGACTGTTAGGATGTCCACGTTGGCTGGGAGTATTGGGTCTAGTTACGATCGCAGTCACATAACAGGTATTGTTTAGTTTTTTTTTTATTTAGTAATTTTTTTGGTAACTTTGATAAAAAAATTTCAAATGTAGAAATTGGAAAAAATTGTGATTTTTTTTTTTTTTTATTTTTTTACGGAATTAATTTATTTGTTAAGTAAAATTAAAAATATACCGAAGATATATGTGTGGAAAAAAATTGATTTTTAAAATTTTTAACGACCAAGATGGATGATTTTTAATTATAATTTTGGTAAATATTCACAAGAGGGATCAACCATTTTTATTTTTATTTTTTTGAACGAAATTTTTATTTAATTTTATTGGTGTATTTAAAATACGTAAAAAAATAAACAATTTAAAATAAAATAGTTGATCATCACAATTTTAACAAATTTATAAATTTTGTAGAAAATTGAGATATTTAATTATTTTTTTATCTTTATATTTTTTTAAGGTAAAAGATCTAATACCAGAATGAAGAGTTTACTGGTTTTGATAGCGTAACTAAAAATATTTATCTATTGAAAAATATTCATGAGTTACAGGGAAATTTTATATTAGAATAATTTTATTTTTTAAAACTGGCCTCATTGTCACAGTAGTATAATTTAATGACTTATTTTTGCTAGCTTGATATGTAAATTATTTTTTTTTATTCTCATAAAATACAATCAAACATAAAGATTTTAAATAAATGTTTCATTGTATTTTTTGTATTTTTTTTTTTTTTTTTCGGATAGAAAAATTAGGAAATTTTTAAGTATTAAATTTTTCACTCTTTAAATAAAATTTGATACCTCCTAATCTCAATATAAGTTTTAAAATCAATCTAATAATAATAATAATAATAATTATAATTATAAATTTTTCAGGTGCATCGAGTTCAACTAGAGGAAGTTCCGGTGGAGTTTATCCGCAAGAGACGTTAAATCCTCCACCAAGTCCAGCGACGACCGCAAACTCGACGAGGTGCTCCAGCAGCAACGCGTCTCGATATCGTCCCTACAGACACTATCGGAGTATAAATCAACCTCCACCTCCAACGCCTTGCAGCACAGATGTTTGCGACGAATCTGATTGCTATTACCCATCAAGGTATAGGTATGAGAGTGAGCCATTTCCACCGCCACCCACGCCTAAATCAGTGTATCACAGCGATGCTGGTATCAGCTGTCCTCCGTCACCTAGTTCGAGGTCTTCAACTTATTTCAGCCCTCTTCCACCCCCTCCGTCGCCCGACTTTAGCAAATAAATTGGTGCTTCGATTCGTAGTACTCTAGGCTACTAAGTAAGACTTGATAAGAAAAACATATTAAAAAATTAACAAAAAGAGCTTCATATTAACTAAAAAAATTAAAATTAAGTGTGATGGGTAATCGGAAAAAATAAACCTGGAAAAAATTTTTAAGTTATGAAAAATTCATACAATTTTCCTGAAAAATAAGCACCTCCATGGAGGTGCTTATATTAATATTACTATTATGTTTATTTTATAATAACATGAATTTTTCATAACTTAAAAATTTTTCCGGGTTTATTTTCTCCGAGATTCAGTATGGTGACAAGCATCACTAGGTTGTTTATAAATTTTGTAACCGGTCTTATTTTTTTAGACATTTCTCATTCAATAATATAATACTTGTATATACTATTTCTCAGGCCATATTTTATTTATTCTGGGTCTCTATAAATTATTGTTGATGTTATTATTATCGGTTTTATTTGTGTTGTATTTGTCACTTTAGTTTTCAAGTTGTTTTGCTTTGAGGAATTTTTTTTATTGAGATATTTCTGAGAAAATAAAACTTGGAAGTCTATAAATTTTTAAAGTTGGTCGTTTTTTTATATTTAAATGTGTAAAAATTAAAATTTTTCGGGGTTTTATTACACACAAAAAAAAATTAACTTGAATCAAGACGAAAAATTTGGCAGCCCAATTTTAAAACACAGTAACTGCAAAATTTTTGTACCTTAAAAATTTTAATAATTAATTAATTAATTTAATAAATTTATAACTTTGAAATTTTTTTTTTTTTTAATAATTATATTCAAGTATTTACTATTTATAAATCAAATTTTTTATCAATTAGGCGCGTAAATTTTTTTTTAACAAAAAAAATTTTTTTTTAATCTTAAAATTGTCAATTACTGTGTTTAGAAATTGAGCAGCTGAATTTTTGAACTAAGAAAATAATTTTTAAAAGTTTAATTGTCTTGAATCGTGACGAAAAATTTTTGAATCAATAAAAACCAAGAAAAATTTTTTAGTTTAAGAATTTTTCTGCTCAAATCAAGTTCTTAAAAATAATTTACTTGATTAAAGTTAATTTTTTTTTTTGTGTACTAGTGATAGAAGTTTTTTAACAAATTCGAATGATCACCACGGTGCTAAATATTTTTAAAAAGTGCACGAGGGCATTGATCACTTAGCCGCGTAACAAAGTGCAAATATTTGTTTTATAATTGTTTTTTTTTTTTTTTTACACGTGTACAAAGTTAATGCCTCTGTGCCTGAAAAAAAGTAAATAAATTCGCGACCAAAAGTTTGCTAATAAAAGCAAATTTGTCCACGGTACTCTGTAAATAAAAACGCATGTAAATATTAAAATTTACTCATAAGTAATAAGTTAAAATAACTAGAACGTTTTTTAATAATTATAATAATAATCAACAAAATACCAGTGTACAGAATGGAGTATTTGTGACATTTAAATATTAATCGTGTTCAAGACACGTAAGCTTATTTTATTTGTTTACTAAATCAAAGCCATTTATTAATCTTGTTTACAATCTATACTCCGTTAATTGTGATACAAAGTATGTCGTTTTAATTTTTTTTAATTGTAAGAGAGAATTTACACTTTATATCTTCTTTATTTTACCTGACGTGGCATCTGACCAAAGGCTGCTTCGAGTAAATATTTTTTTTTTTTATTTTTATTATGTAATTATTAATGAGTACTATTCGATTAATTATTTTTAAGAATTAACTCTGTTTTATGTATATTAAGTATAAAATTTTTCTAACTGTACAACGAAGTATATAACGTACAAACGCACATGAAAGTTTTCCAATTAAAATAACAAATTTTTCAGATATTTATTGTTACTTGATATACAATATAGATAATCTTGTTTTTATTATATTGTTTCACTTACGATTGTGTGCCATAATCGTCATAATAAAAATAAAACCATGTATTATATTACTAAGTAATAGTATTTTGGAATCGCTGGATTTTTTTTTATTGGAAAAAATATTCCTTAAGAATATCTATTTTTTGGTAATTATTTACAAGTAGAGTCAACACTTAGCTATATCTAGGTGAAAAGTAAAAATTTTTTAATTCTTTTTTTATCTGCTTGTTTTTACGGCGCATTTATGATAAAAAATGTCGTGAGAAAAAAAAATGAAAATTTTAATAGCGTTTGTGCCTTCAAAAATTGGAAAAAATTTTGGCTCTCATCTTTTTGGATAAAATTTATATTTTATCTTTTTTTGGTGTTTTTGATAAATAGAAAGATAAGCAACGCAGTCATTCTATTTAGCTTAGTTTATGTGGCTTACATAGCATTAATTAAATTACATTAAATTAATTTGGTATACATTTCACCATTTGTTTTGGTATATTGCTTTCTTACAATATTTTAACAATTTTTTTGTAATAAAAAATTAATTAACAAGCGATTTTGAAGTACTATAACTTGACTATAGTTAAGATATAAAATTAAAAAGTTTAAACATTTGGCTCTGCCAATAGAGATCGCCTTTAAGTAGTAATAATCTCGATCAAATCACTGATTGCATTGAGCATCCAAGACTGAATGAAATATAAATAAAAAAAAAAAATAAAAAAAAAAAAGACGAAAAATAATAATAAAATGAATTACTAGAATTTTTCACTTTTTATCATATACATAGGTGACAATATTTGGTATAACCCTGTGAAATGTATCATATTTGTACAAAAATACTATTTGAAGAACAAAGTAAATAATAAATTTTTTTGTTGATGTATTTTAAATCGGTTACATTGTTGTGGATTGTTGTTATTAATTATTTCCACTTGTTAGATGTATATCTGTACTTCACAGAAGGACCTTCCTTTTCTTCGAGAGCATACAGCTCTTCATCCAGCAGTAATTCGAAATTCCCCATTGCCTCAGGCGAGGGACACTTGTTCCATCTGACACTACAGCCAAATAAATAATTCATTAAGTATTCTTTTATCGGTTTAATTATTCAAACACTTTTGGTCCTTACTCAGGCACTCCGTCTGGCGGGACTACAATTGAGATTATATTGTCGATAAGCTTGTACTTTAAAATTCTATCATTTACAGTCGTTGATGTTAGGGACGGTGAAGCATTTACCTAATAAAAAATTGAACCAATACATAAAATTGATGAAAAAAAAATGTTTAATGTATATTATTGAAAGAATAAGAAAAATTTTGGGTCCAGGATAGTCATATAAGTATTTAGATTGCATTCAAGAATGCTCTATCTCGAGAGACATAATCAAAGAATGACCTTGTATCTTGTCAATTATTGACATTTTTAAAGATATAAGTTCATCCCGATGTTACACTCATCGAGACCTTTCATTTGAATACCCACATGCTTTTTTCATATATTTATATATATATTACATATATGTATATATGTTTATATATGAAAAATATATCAAAAATACATGTGGGTACTCAAACGAAAGCTCTTGATGAGTGTAACATCAGGATGAGCTTATATCTTTAAAAA